TCTGCTCTGATCTTTATTATTTCTCTTCTCCTGCTGGGTTTAGGCTTTATTTGCTGTTCTTTCCCCAGATCCTTTAGGTGTAGGGTTAGGTTGTGTATTTGAGACCTTTCTTGTTTCTTGAGAAAGGCTTGTATTGCTATGTACTTTCCTCTCAGGACTGCCTTTGCTGTATCCCAAAGATTTTGAACAGTTGTGTTTTCATTTTCATTGGTTTCCATGAATTTTTTTAATTCTTCTTTAATTTCCTGGTTGACCCATTCATTCTTTAGTAGGATGCTCTTTAGCCTCCATGTATCTGAGTTATTTCCAACTTTCCTCTTGTGATTGAGTTCTAGTTTCAGAGCATTATGGTCTGAAAATATGCAGGGAATGATCCCAATCTTTTGGTACCAGTTGAGACCTGATTTGTGACCTAGGATGTGATCAATTCTGGAGAATGTTCCATGGGCACTAGAGAAGAATGTGTATTCCATTGCTTTGGGATGGAATGTTCTGAATATATCTGTGAAGTCCATTTGGTCCAGTGAAACACCAGGTTTATTAACAATGGTGATCATTATGCTTTGGGAGGGAGAGGAATCACAACGAGGCTCACAGAGTGAGTAATGCTTAATCTATTTTAAAATCTGAAGTAAATATAGAATAGTTGATGATTTTATAAAGCCAGCTGCTCTGAACTGGGTTGTTTGCATTATCCTCTATTCTCTTCATATTTGATATACTTCACAATGGGATAAAAAAGAGAAGAAAGGAGACAAAACAATGGCTATTTGCAGATGATGGGATCATACAACAATAACAAAGGGGAACTGTTAGGACTAATGAAAGAGCTTAGATATCAAATAAACATCTCCAAATCAATAGGATTTCTATTTATTTGCAATAACCTGTGTAAATATTCGATGGGGAGGAAGCAAGCCAATTTTCAGTAGCCAGTGAGATTATAAAATATCCTGGAAGAGTCTCCACAAAGATCTTTGCAGGACCAATATAAAAATTGAGAGATTTGATCAACTCTGAAGCATGAAGTATGTTATCTATTGATATTATGACTTTCAGATGTGGAATTGGAGGCTTATGCAGGTCAGAGATGGGTCAGCTAGTCTCTGACTCATCAAGGCTTGAAACGCCATCCCTCAAGCTACTTCCCCAGACCTGGAAGCCAGAAGGTGAATTTACACATTTCCCACCCATGGCAGCTTCACGGGACTTCACTGCCCTGAAACAGACCCACTGCAGCTAAAAAAATTCTTATTTCTGCCTCACTCAAAGGAGCTTTGAACAGTGTGGGGAATGCCTCAGTGTGATGCATGAAACCAACCTTCTTCTCTTTTCTGCTAAGCCACCCTCATTTCAGAGTTCAACTCCCTGACCTTCCATGAAAACTCATGAGAGCTTTTCTCCTATTTTTCCCCTGGCTGATTTTCTTGTATCATACTCTTCCCCATCCTAACCGTCACAGAAATTAGCCCTGCCAAGCAGAAATGTCTCCCCAAGCAGAGAGGGTAATTAGTTTCTACATGCTCTCAGGAAAAAAATAAATAAAACTATACTGCTTTCAGTTAACAGTTTGAGAAGCCTGGCCTGACATTTTGGCTCAGGGTTTAGAATATGAACCTTTTCTCTTGCCTTTCTTGCATTTTCCAAAAACTTGCGAGTTCTAGAGCAAAAGCAGGATAAGAATTCAGAGCCACCTGGTCCCATTAGATGCACCAGGAGGGCTGCAGATAGTGCTTGGGGAACAGGCCCAAACTAATCTGTGTACTTTCATTTCTTCTTGGGGCCAAAGGGATTGTCTTACAGCAGGATGAAGTTCAGGCTTCAAGAGGTTCTCCTTTATTGACAAAGTCTGAGGGTGAAGTCTGAAGCCCTACTTGCACCAAAGTCATTTTCCCCAGTGTGCGACAGTCAATAAAGTAAAGAATTTCTATTTAAATTTTAAATTAGCAAAGTGTGGATAAAGTCAAAGGAGGAATACAGGGTACATTTGGAGAAATGCGGCACCCCAGCTAAAAACTCTCCAAGGAGGGTTAGGGTTTTCAAAGATGAGGCGCTTTCTAGCCCATGATCAGCAGGTGGCAGCATAACTCAAGAAAAGAAACCAGGTTCCTTCATTTCTTAGCTAAGTTTCAAGGTTCCTAATCTTCCAAGGAGACAAACACCCCTTTTATTCAGTTTGCTGGGGGTAAAAATGATGGGTTTCACGTGATAATGGTTGTGCTTTTAGGATCCATTGGTTAAAAAACATAAATGAGGGGGGCCTGGCTGGCTCAGTCAGTTAAGCATCTGACTCTTGATTTTGGCTCAGCTTATGACCTCAGAATTGTGAGATCAAGCCCCCAGTCAGGCTCCGCGCTGGACATGGAGTCCGCTTAGGATTCTCTCTCTGCCCCTCTCCCTGCTTCCTCCAAAATAAAGCAAAACAAAACAACCATATAAATGACAAGTTAAAATTAACTCACTGCAACTTCTGAAGGAATTTATATTTGAATAATTACACAAAACAACCACATTCTCTTGAACCATAGAAACATGGCCACATATCTGTGCATGCAGAATATTCACATCTACTCTCAGATAATTCTTAGCATGACTGTGCGTTCCCAGACCCTTGGCAATAACTGTATGGTGCCAGGGGAGGTCCTGGGTCCACAGGAGACCACTGCTTTAAAGAACCCTTGTTTCCCCCTCACTTCCACCCAAAAGCCTGATGAAAGCTTCCAGAGGCTGAGAAAGATTAAAAGAACAGAGTGGATCAGACGTTCTCGTTTTTTATGTAGCTAAGTCTAAGAACTACAAAACCAGCCTGTTGCAAACCATGAGGGTGCTGGCATTGCAATGAACTTTAAAAAAAATTTTTTTAAAGATTTTATTTATTTATCTGAGAGAGAGAGAGAGCATGAGCAGGGGGGAGGGGTAGAGGGAGAGGGAGAAACAGACTCCCCACCAAGCAAGGAGCCTGACACGGGGCTCGATCTCAGGACCCTGGGATCATAGCCTGAGCTGAAGACAAATGCTTAACCGACTGAGCCACCCAGGCATCCCACGATGAACTTTTAAATGCAGAAGACACCATATAACACAAGACCTCTGTGGGAATGGAGAGTTTCCCGGTGAGACAACATCTAGTTGTTTAGGGTATGGGATTGGAGTCCGAATACCAAGATTGGGAGAGACATTTCTATTTATATTAGCTATGTGATTTGGGCAAGCTACTCAGCCTCTCTGAGCTTCTATTTCCCCACCTGTACAATGAAAAGCATATGTCTTGCTTCCTGGAGGCTTCCTTTATTTTTGTGAGGATTAAATAACAGTCTATGAGGGTGCTTAGGCAGCTGCTGACACCTAGAAATGCTTGATGATGTTGGCTGCCGTGGTTATGATTATGAGCCTCATGATCAATGTCATGCTATCATTATTTATTACTAATATCACATGAGAGTATCAATGAACATTGGAAACGTCATAAATGAGGTCTCTTTTATTGAATTTGTCTCTGCAGAGAATGGTGTCATGTCATGGGTGACATCTGGCCATCCATAATGTCCCTTCGTTTTCGACATTTCCAAAGTGTTCTTTGGGCAACATTTCTTCATGGGCAATGTCAGCACAAGATCTCCCAACTTATACCAAAGACCCCTGAGAGTGAGAAATCCCGGGGTGACTACCGCCCACCCCCACTAGCTCGAGCTGCCATCCCTGGAGTGGCCAATCTCAGCAGATTTTGATGACTGAAGTGTCTACACAGAGGCTGTGTGCATGCGTGGGCACATGAATGTGTAGATGTTTGTGACTGGGTTTTGTGTTAAAAAAATCATCGGAAAGTCTGAATTCCTTGTCCACTCATGTTTGGTCCTAACCTTCCTCCCCAGTGGTCTCTTATTTCTAGAAATAATAGTCCCCCTTTCCTCGCACACTTTCTCATCCTAAATAACAGTGAGTGTTTGCTCAGGTGTGGCCAGTGAGAGTGATATGAACTAGCCTGCAAGAGATATCTCCCCCCACCCCTTGGACTTCACCCAGACATAGGCTTCTCTCCTAATGTGACTGACAGCCACAGGCCAGTCCACTTCACCCAAACACGTAAGTGGGTACAGGGGCCATGCGAGACCATGCACTGCAGGGGAGAATTCTGGGTGTTAATTCTTGTAGAGAGGTGGTAATTATGGGGTAATTTATACCATTGACACTGAACTATCTGGGCCGTGGTATTTCTGATGTCACCATGCAGCTAACTTGATGAGCTTGCTAAGTACAATTCAAGAAGGGAAACAGGAGTAAATGTCCTCCTTAGTGAATAATGTGGCCTGGCGTCAACTTTAATGTGCTGTCCTGACCCATCGGGGGGCCTCCAGAGGGCAGCCTCAAAGAAGCATCCTTAAAGTCCAGTGGGCGACTGCTCATCTCATTGGTCCCAGGAATAGGAAGAGAAGTAAAAGGGAATGAGGAGGCAGCCCCACAAAGATGTGGGCAGGACTCTTTCAATACACCACTGATTTTACCCCTAAGGGACAACACTCTTGATGGCAACGGGCCATGCTGACCAATCCTTGGAGGTAATATTAGGTGAAAGAATAACATAAGATAGTGTCATATTAGCCTCTAGATTTGCTTCTAGAGAAGCTTCCAAAATCAAAGAAAAAGCTCAAAAACCAGGCTGGTATAGGGTTCTCAACCCTCTAGGCCCTCTTTATAGGTAGGCATCAATAGGAGGCCACAGCCCTGTGCACATCTCCATTAAAGGTGTGAGGTCACAGGAAAAATGGTCTGATTGCCTCTCCTCAGACAAATGTCTCTATCCTTGGATGAATAAGTTCTAGCCAGGTGATTAGGGATGACTAGAGGCCATCAGGCCTCGTTGTGTCTCTGAGGTACCACAAAAGCCTTGGAGCTCATTCACCTGCCATACTGAATTCTCTTTCCAATGGCCCCTCTCCCAAGAACAGTCCCCACAGACCATCACCCTGATCTGGGGAAAGCCCGTGGTCTCTCTCACTTACTTGTCATTCACAAGTTTCCCACGTTGATGAATCTGATTCTCCATCGTGAAGTTGATGGTGGCGCCATACACGTGCTCACCGAAAAACACCTTCATTTTGGACTTGTATGCTTCATCTTGAAAATACCGGATCATATCAGGGAACCAAACTGTCAGTCCATAGTAGCTGTAATAGAGAAGACAGAATATTCAAGCAGCAACAGGATTTATTCTTTCGTGAACAGAGTCTGTATCCCTAACCTGATATAAATCAAGCTCATTTTAAATGTACGAATATGGTTCATTAATTAGAAATTAAGACACTAAGTGCCACATTATCACTCATCATATGAACAGATCTAAGGAAAAAAATGATGACCATCTTCATAGATTCTGAAAAGGCATTTGATTAAAAAAAATTCATTCCTGATTTAAAAAAAAATAGATTGGGAATTGGTGGGCACTTCCTTTACATGTAAGAAAATACATACCTCAGCTCAAAGGTAGAATCTTACTTCATATGGAAACAGTAGAGGCATTTCCACTAATGTCAGGGACAAGACCCAGACACCCAATCTCACCACTACTCTTTACCATCACATTGTAGGGCTTAACCAACTCAGTTAGACAGGAGAAAGAAATAAAAAATTGCAGGAATACAAAATTGCAAAGCAAGAGGCAAAACTACCTCCATCTGCAGATGATACAACTTTATACCTGCCGATCTCAAGATCTTCAACTCAAAAAACTGGCCACTAAACATTTAAAAAAGATGCTCAGTCCCACTCACAATAGGAAAAATGCAAATTAAAGCCACACCATTATCATTCTCAACTATTAGGTTATAGGTAAACAGATGCTCTCATACACCACAGGAAAAATTTGTACAATACCATATGGAGGAGAGGTCAATGTCCAAAAAAAAATTACTGATGGATTTACCCCTTTGACTCCATAATCCCATTTCTAGAAACCTATTCCATTGATCAGCTCGCTCAAGTACAAAGTTGCCTACAAACACAATTATTCGTTGTGGTATCATTCATAATAGCAGAAGTCTGAAGACTTCCCAAGAGTCTAGCAATAAGGCCCTGTTTGAAGACTGTGTGGTGCTACATAATGGAAAACTATGCACATGTATTACTCTATTGTTTCAACATTTGAAATGCATTACCTATTCAACAAAATGAAATCAGCTACAAGTAAATATAAACAAGACATTTTAGAACTCTCAGTGAATTGAATCCTAGTGTCTACCATCTTTGGCTTCTGAAATGTTCCCTCCTCACTTAGAATAAGTGGAGGGGAGTAGGGTCTGGCTTCCTCTTTACTTTTACCCATTTGGGTCTCCATGAATAGGTATTGAAAGAAATCAGGTCTCCCCATGTTCCTCCATGAATCAAAGAGGTCATTAGACCCCATTTCATTTCCTTTGGGCACAGATGATGGTGAACCAAGCAATTTCACAGATGGAAGTTTTAAATCTCATTGACAGTTCCTCTCTGATAATAGCAACTAATTGAGCACTACTAAGTGCCAGAAATTATTGCAAGCACTTTCTTTATACAGTAAGTAGCCTCAAGATGCTTTAAGTGGCTTAAGTGGCATAAAGAGGGTCATGATATTTGAAGGTGTGTGAAATGACCTACCAATTAAGAGAGGAGCCAGCTAATCACCATTCCTATTGAACTCGATCTTCCTTATTGTAGGGCACAGTACTGCAGCCTCACTGCTTTATCCCATGGCCACAGTGCAAGTGGCAGCTGCCTACTCAGCACTCGTTCCCTGCTCATTCCTCGGAAACTAGATTTTGTTTGGGTATCAATCCTCAGGGAAGCTTACAGTATCGTTGGCTCAGACACAAATCCTGATTAGTCTGAAGTCACTGGAAAATCCCATCCCCTTCGCCAGTTAGTTTGGCACTAAGTATGTGACACACATCTGGTTAATAGAGAAAAAGGATGTAGGGGTTTTCGGCGGGGGGCTCCTGAGAAAGCTTTCCTTGCTGTTACAAAGAGAAGCTCAGAGAGAGGCAGCCTTTTCCTCCTTGGGACATTTTCCCACACTGATGGGATGCCAAGAAGAGCACAAGCATCTGGCAACCATCAAGAGATTGAGCCTGGGGCTGAAACCCCGCCTGGAGCCTGCCTCTCTATGGAATTCTTGTTACAAAGGACAAGATGTGTCCTTGTAGAAGCCACGAGAGTGGGCTGCCTGTTACTTGCAGCCAAAAGCATCCAGACTCTAGGAGTTAGAACTAATTGAAATCTTTGGTTTATAGATGAGGTGCTGGAGGCATAGGGAAGTTAATGAAGTTAAGTAAGATAGAATTTACCTTAAAGCCATGGTGAACCAGACCACAGCCAGAATCAGCGTGTTCATCCTGTAGGGCCCCATCACACAGTACAGAGCATTATCCCAGACCTGTAACCCACACACAAAAGGGTTATTAAAGCAAGAGACTTGTGGCTTGAAAGAGCTCATTTCTAGGATTTTCTGATAAATTTCCTAGGACCCCATGAGAGAATGGAAAACCATGATCTCCCAGAAGCAGCAATTCTGTTCAAATAACAAAGAGTCTTCTCTTCTTACTGCCTGGCCTCAGCCTCCAACATAACAGTTCTGGAGCATCTTCCCTGGGAACACAGTAATACATCATCAAAAGCACACTGAGTTGGGATTTCAAGACACTAGATAACCTTGAGTAGTGAGCTCTGCTCCTTGCCTATGGGAGTGGGTGACATTCCCAACATTTAACAACCATTCAACCATTCATTGGCTGCCTCAGTGCTTGACAGCTGAGTTGCCTACAGGAGTCACTTCTCCGGAGAAATGGCCTTGCCCTTCATGGAGACTTCCTCAGAAATCACCAACACACCTCAAAGGGCTATCTACTTCACTCATTCCTTTCTTCCTACAGATTATGTAAAGAGAAGGTGATAGAGAGAAGGATATTTACTAAGAGTAGATAGATGTTCTGCCTGTGTTCAAAATCTCTCCTTGGGAAGTAAAAGCAAAGAAAAGAAACTAAGGTTTAGAGAGTCTGTGGCTCAAGTCACATGGTGAGTGAGAAGCAGGCACAAATGTGTCCCAAACATTCCATCCAGGACACTCCCTCCCCATCACACTGCCTTGGGTTGTTCGGTCTTTATCCTTCATCCACCAAAGTTACAGAATTCCAGACATTCTCCCCTCTCATCTCCCACAAGTTCCCAATCATACCTGCTTGAAAGTGGTCTTGAACCTGACCAGCCAGCGTTGGTACCAAGTTCCTGTTGAACTCTGGATCTCAATGAATTCATCCATTTGCTTGGGAGTTTTGATGTGGGAAACCTGCAAAACAAAGATGGTCTAGAGAATCATAACCCCACTCTGTGTCAGACTTTTCAATCTTTAATTAATGTAACTGAATTTATGTCATGTATCGAAGGCTACAGGAGCATTGGATGACCCTCTAGTTCAGTGATTCTTAACCAGAGATGTACATGGCCTGTCTTAGGAAATCTTTCTCAGGGAGATATGTCCCCCTGCAGACAAGATGAATCCATCTTTTCACTAGATTATGCTTTTGAGAAATTTATATTCGTCAGTCATAATATGCTGAATTCCCATGTACATCTGATTTGCCCACAGTAGAGTTGACTCCACCTTAAAATTCACAAGTCTATCCTTAATACCTTAAAAAGTATTAACAATTAACATCACAGAAGTCTAGAACCCATGTAAGAAATGGTGTGTGTGTGTGTTGCGGGAGAGGGTTGTTACTTAAGATTTTTTTTTAAAGATTTATATATTTTAGAGAGAAAGTGAGGGAGAGAGAGCGTGCATGCACAAGCAGGGGGAGGGGCAGAAGGAGAGGGCAGAGACAGAATCCTCAAGCAGACTCCCCACTGAGCATCGAGCCCAACACAGGACTCAATCCCAAGACCCTGAGATTGTGACCTGAGCTGAAATCAATAGTTGGCCACTTCACACACTGAGCCACCCAGGTGCCCTACTACTTAAGATATTTTTAAAACACAGCAGAATATGAGAAATCATGTCCTCCTTGCTGTCTCTGGCTTTCCTAGTGGAAATCAAAGAAATGGGGAGTGGGGATAAGGTTATATATCTCAGCTCTCTCCCTAAAGGGCCCCAGAAAATATTGATTTGTCCAATGTCAGCAGGTAGCCCCAATGTGCAATCCTGACCCACCAAGACAGTGACTGTCAAGTTACCTAGTGTTTAAAGCAACCACTGAATTCTATAACTAACCATCATGTTAAGGAGATGGTTAGCCAAGTTAGCAAGGTCCATGCTTGCAGACTTATTCAGAGGAAAATGGAGGAGCACACTCAAAAATATTCAGAGTTTCCATCACCCCCTCCAATGAGCTTTGTCTAAGGGAAAAGGTTTTAGTCCTACAAGCATCTCCATTGCTTTCTTCAGCCATCTGAGAATGTGAGGAGACGGGAAGAGAGAAGGAGATAAGGCTGGTAATCCATAGGGAAAAAAAACAGCCCTTGGGTGTGGACAACAGACTCATTAACTCTGAGCATGAGGTCTAGGACAGCATGGCTTTGCTTTTCTAAACCCTAAAAATAGTAGTTCTTAAACTCCTGGCGTGTCCTACCATCTGCAGGTGTTCCTCCTTTGCAGATGTCTCCACCTGGGCTCTGACAAGGACATGGGGGAGTGAACGCACAGGCCCTGCAACAGAACTCTTGGCTGGAGCTCCATGGTATCAATACCCCCAGGGAGCCATGAGCCCTTGCTGTAGCCAAAAGAGGCCAGAGGGCAAGGTTGACATCAAATCAGGAAGCATGTCGAAAATCATACTCCAAAGCATTAAGATATCCACTCAAATGCAATGTTTTTCTTTTTAGTGCGCCTAGGGAAAATAACATTCTATTCCCTAGGGATTTGGGAGTGGGTGTGTGGACAACCTCAAGCAAAATTACTCTAATTTACAATTAACTAGGATACTTGTCTTTAATTGGGTCTAAATCAGAATATGGCCTGTGTTCACCCTAGCCCTGCAGAACATTTTACTGGGGACACCTGCCAGGTGGCAGATCAGAAGCTGTGAGGCAGCCAGCCAATGGGATGGCTGAAACCTGGGGCTTTGTAGGGGAGGAAGACATTTTTTTTCCTCGCCCCTCTTAGTGTCCCAGGCTGGGTCTGAAAATTAAACTGACAAACACAGATTAACAGGAGAAAAGCCTACACATTCTATCAAATTTTAACACAGACAAGGGAGCCTTCCAAAGAGAATGAAGGCCTGAAGAAGTGACCAGAGCAGAAAGCTTTTACACCTTTGAGGCCATGAAACAATGGATTTGTGAAGAATTGACAAGACAAAGGGGTGTGGGGCTAAGGGTAGTCATTGGTGAAGCAGTAACTAGGAAGAAAGAGTTGATTTAACAAGGTTTGTCGATGCAGGCTTCTTGACCCCTCCCCCCATCTCTGATGATAAGAATGTCTTCTTTCCTCCTGGTACAGGGACAGTCACTTCACACAGTGGATCTATGACCTGTTCCAGAAGATGGGCGAGTGGGGAGAGGTCAGAGTGATCTTCCTGCTTCTGCCACTTTCTCAAACTCCTTCAGCTAAAGATATTCAATATGCCAAGGTGCCATATTTTAGGGTAGGTGTCCTGAACCCCAGCGGCTCAAAGGGGAAGGTGAGGACCCTAGCATCCGTGGCTCTCTGAGTACAATCAAGGGTGCATTATTTACTGAGGGGAGCCCACCCACGGTTCCTATTCCTGCTCTGCTCCAGGATCTCTGACTTCCTTGGGTTGCACGGCCATCCCGGGGGGGAGGGGTTCTGATGCTCAAGTGAAAGGCTGAGATTGTGCCTTTGGAAACTGGAGGCTTTATTGATTTCCAAGCTAAGACCTCATTCTTCAAAATTAGTCTGCTTAAGGATAAACCCATTGTGAAGAGAGAATGCAGGATCACGTCTCTAAAGAGGACTCCTGGTCTGGCAAGCCCACGCGGTTGATTTAGAAGTGGTCCTTCTGGGAGCAACAGTCAGGGAAGCCACTGGGTGTGAGAGGCTGCAGGGGCCACCCGGGTAAGACAAAGGCCTGGAAGCATTTCCAGTCTCCTGGGGCTGTCAGGGACAGGTGTACAAATGAGGTGGAGAGCAATCATCCCTCAGGACTCCTCTCAGGAGAGCTGTGGGTTTGCTTGGAATAAATATGCTAACAGACTGCTTGACAGGTCAGGGAATGTCAGAGAGGACCAGTGCGTGAGCCGTGCACGAGCCAAGGAGAATTCGCCATATTCCAGAGGGAGAATAGGGGAAAGAGAGGGAAGGCGAAAAAGGAGGGGGAAAAGAGTGGGAGATGGGGCAGGGAGGAAGTTCCTCAAATTGTCACGAAGGTTATTAAACTCGCAAATGTTTGGTATGAGTGGGGTGTGTCTGTGTGTCTGCATGTATGATGTGTGTCTGTGGACGTGTGTGTGTTTATGCATCTTCGTGTGTGTTTCACACCAGGTTGATGTGGCCCACAATCCAATCCAGCTGATGTGGATTCAGAGGCTTGAGTCAGAGACAGCCCATGAAGATGTCTCTCGGGAATAAGCAGGAGCTTGGAGAGCAGTCTGTGGAATGGGTGGGGGTGGGGGCAGGACCAAGCCAAGCACACCTAGGTCCTGGAGCGGGGGCTCTCCACTAACATCTGGTGTCCACACCTGCAGTCCAGCTGCAGCGTTATAATCCGCCACAGACAGTGATGGGGATAGGGGACTTGGGAGAACCATCTATACCCTTAACATCTTTCATCTGGACTATTACTGTTAGTTGTGCTTCTTAATAAATGTTTGTGATAAAAGCACCAGTCCTGTATTTTAGATATTTTTAGGAGCATTGGAATTGAGGGAAATAGGTGACTGAACAGCAATAAAACTCATTGCTGGAGTTAATTTAAGAAAAAATGTGTCATATCATTTTTTTTAAAGATTTTATTTCTTGGGACGCCTGGGTGGCTCAGTCGTTAAGTGTCTGCCTTCGGCTCAGGTCATGGTCCCAGGGTCCTGGGATCGAGCCCTGCATCAGGCTCCCTGCTCAGCGGGAAGCCTGCTTCTCCCTCTCCCACTCCCCCGGCTGTGTTCCCTCTCTCGCTGTCTCTCTCTCTCTCTCTGTCAAATAAATAAATAAGATCTTTTTTTAAGATTTTATTTATTTATTTGACACACACACACACACACAGAGAAAGGGCACAAGCAGGGGGAGCAGCAGAGGGAGAGGGAGAAGCATGCTCCCCGCTGAGCAGAGAGCCTGATGCTAGACTGGATCCCAGGACCCTCGGGTCACTACCCGAGCCAAAGGCAGACACTTAACTGACTGAGCCACCCAGTCGCCCCTATGTCATAACATTTTTGAATAATAGTTAACATCTATGTAGCCCCTACTCCAAGGCAGGTACTGGTTTAGGTACTTTATTTAATCCTTACTAATAGAGATATTGTTATCCTTCTGTTCCCAGTAGAGAAACTGAGGCAGAGGGAGTATCCTGCCTAAGACCACACAGCTAGAAAGTATCAGAACTGGGATTTGGACCCAGACTGTCAGGCTCCAGGTTATGGATTCTTAGCCACATGATCCTGCCACATGGCCCAGCCTGAGAATCAGGGCTTCTAAGCAACAGTTAACAAGGACAACTGTGTTGTCCAGAATCAATGGCAGAGGCCAAAGCTGCAAAAGCAGTGAATCAGATAAGGAGGGGGTTAACCCAGGAGGGCTTCCTTGTGGAAATGGATTTGAAGTCAGCCTGAAGGGAAGTTATGCAAAACAGGGACCCAGGGCAGGCATTCCTCCTTGGCCACAGAGCATGGTTGGGGGAACACAGACCCTGGTAACTAACAGGACATCTTCATGGAAATCACCACTCACTAGTTTTTCAAGCAAAAAACAAAATTCAGGCTAAGCACCAATGCTGATAAGGGTGGAGGAGAGAAATGGCTATCCTGTTGCCTGTGGCACTGTAGATTGGCACAACCCTATTAAAATGTAATCTGGCAATATAACTCAAGAGCTATAAAAATACTAGTGCTTTTTCAGCCAGTCATTTTATTTCTAGGAGTCTATCTTGGAAAACAAACCGAGAACATGAATGGGAAGGAACTATGTGTGTGAGAAGGTTCACTGTGACAATATTTACAGGAACAAGGTAATAAAATGGGGTAAAAAAACTTTCTAGCATTTGGGGCATGTTTAGGAAGACTGTGTTAACGTTCCCAACATTAATGTTGGTTAAAAGGATAATTATGAATGCCAAAAGGCAACATACGGAATGCTTATGGGTACTCTTTAAAAATATATAGATGGAGGGGTGCCTGGCTGGCTCAGTTGGTTAAGCATCCGACTCTTGATTTCAGCTCAGGTCGTGATCTCAGGGTTGTGGAATGGAGCCCATGTGCTGAGCATGGAGCCTGCTTAAGATTCTCTCTCTCTCTCACTCCCCCTCTGCCCCTCCCACCCTGCTCACTCACACTCTCTCTCTCTTAAAAAAAAATGTAGATGTAAATATATGCACATATGCTTATGCCCATATGAACACAGCTAGTTTTTTCCTTCAGCATTTTTTTAACAATTAGCAGTAACAAGGATATCCATCAAAATGAACAAATAATTATGACACAATAATAGGAATGTCAGGCTTTTATTCTCCCTCTGATACATTTCCTTTATCAAATTAATAAATATCATGATATAATAAAATTTTCAGCAAGCCAAAACAAGGTCCCCTCTTGTTGGTATAGGTGCTGCACACTCACTGTGAACACCTTCTCCGGGGCCCCCTTCGCCCTCATGTTGGTGTCATGGACTTGCTTGAGAATCATCCAGGCTTCGTCGTGTTTGCCCATCTGGTGAAAGCAAGGAAAGAGGCGTAAGAAATCCTTTCCTGACAAGGAGTGGAAACCCTACGGGGGCGTCCAACCCTTAGTGTGAAGTGGTTAGACATGGATGCACTGCCACTCGTCTTGGGAAGGATTGGGACAAGTCTTTGTCCCCAGCCCATCTTGGAAGGATGCTGAGGTAATGCCTCCGGGGTGTAACGTGTAAACATTACACACTATTCCCATTACACAGTACAACAAGCCTAGTTGTAAGGTTGAGGGACTGCTGGAGGGGGAGCCACGTTCCTCCCTGACCAGAGCAAGCAACGAAGCAACATGTTACAGATTGAATTGTGTCCCTGCAGCCCTGGGTACCCTGGAATATGACCCTATTTAGAAATAGGATTGCTGTAGATGTCATTAAGATGAGGTCCTACTGGAGTAGGATGGGCCCCTCATCTAGTTCAACTGGTGTCCTTATAAGAAGGCAGCATGTGAATACGGAGACACAGGAGGGGAGCGCGTGAGATGACACGGGCAGGAAGCGTGGTGCAGCCGCGAGCCAAGTGATGGCCAACAAAGCACCGGAAGCTGCAAGAGGCAAAGGAGGACTCCCCTACAGACTTCAGAGGGAACGTGGCCCTACTGACACCCTGATTTTGGACATCCAGCCGCCAGAACTGTGACACCATTTCTGTTACTTGAAGCCACTCAGTTTGTGACAAAACCCTTTATCACAGCAGCCCTAGAAAACTAATGCACCACAAAGGGTAAATTTTGAGAGATCCCTGGTTAAAAAAAAAAAAACAACTCCCTGCGGTGTCTGCCCCTGATAATGGGACACAAGGGAATTTGACAAGGACGATCACTCTGTAGGAAGATCTAGAAGGAGACACAGAAATGGACTCAAAATTGGGCATGTAGGAGGCTTCAAGTTCCTATCACTCCTCTGCCAGTCCCACCCAGTCTGACCCCCGCAAGCACAAGAGGCACCCCCAAGTTGGAAGGACTCTTTTCTCAAGACACCAGGAGCAGCTTTCCTGTGGGGAGGGGTCCTGATGGGCTTGCGGGAGACGCGAGTTTTCCCACAGATCTCACTGTAGCAACTTAAAAAATCATCCCACAGTTTTGAAGAGCCTCTGGAGAGAATGGGAGCTGGAAGCAGCCTCTGACAGTCCCTGAATCCAGGGCGTGCAGCCATCAGACAGCGATAAAGCCAGACATGATGATGGGCCAGGCGGGCTGACGGGGGGGTGGTGTGCAAATGCAAGCAGGAGAGGAGGGGGGCCAAAGGGCTATCATTCTCAAATTTGGTGGGGGTGGGGGCAGGGCTGACTTACCTCCAGCAGGAACCTCGGGCTCTCTGGCATGAACCTCAGAGCCACCATGGACACGGTGCAGGGCAGTGCGCAGATGATGACAAACACTCTCCAGCTATGGAAGTGGTAGTTGGTGCCCATGCTGAAGCCCCAGCCTGTGAAGAAGCAGTCAGAGGATTTCTGACATGATCTTAGAGTGACCTTAAATCACTCGCTCTCAAATGAGGGCACAAGACCATCGCCTGGGAAGCAGGTTAAAATGCAAACTCCCAACTGTCCCCAAACCTTCTGAGGCAGAAGTCTGGAACAGGCACGGGCAACATGCATCTCCAGAACCCCCAGAGTTGGCCAGGCCTGACATTTACCGGGCCTTGGGCTGCATCCCATATTTCTCTATAGTCATTAAAACTTAAGCGAACCAACTGTTAATACAGATGTTCTATCCCCTTGCCTTGACAAATAAGGAGCTAGAAGGCCAGGCCATGACCTACCCTTGCGAGACTCCTTTCATTTCTTCTCCTGGCCCCTTTCACAGAGTGAGGGGCCTCGTGCTGATATATGTGAATACTCTACCACAATGAGAATGGGCATCTTTGTCACGATTCCTTGAGTTTCGTGGGAATTCCTGGGTTCTGAGTACCCAGAGCATGATCTGGATGGAAGGGAGAGTGATCACACACCTCAGGGACCCCTTGTCTTCTAGGAAAGAATACCAGATCAGGACCTTAGGACCTTGGGGTTCCCGCTTCCCAGGCCAAAGTGCAATATCAGCTCCAGGTGATTCTAATGCCAAGGTTTCAGGACCACACTCTGAAAAGCACTATCAGTCATAATACAGGCATACCTCAATTTATTGTGCTTTGCAGATGGTGCAGTTTTTACAAATTGAAGGTTTGTGGCAACCCTGGGTCAAGTAAGTCCATTGGCATCATTTTTCCATCAGCATTCACTCACTTTGTGTCTCTTTGTCACATTTTGGTAATTCTCAAAGTATTTCAAATTTTGCATGATTACATTTGTTATGGTGATCTGTGATCAGTGATTCCTACTTGCCAAAAGCTCAGATGATGGTTAGCATTTTTTAGCAATATTTTTTATTTAAGGTATGTACACCTTTTTTAGACATAATGCTATTGCACACTTACTAGACTACAGTTTGGTGTAAACATAACTATTAGATGCACTGGGAAACCAAATAATTCATTTGATAGTTGCTTTATTGCAGTAGTCTGAAACCAAACCCATCATATCTCCAAGGTATGCCTATATTAATTTTTTTTAATTTTAAAGAGACAGGGCTTCTAAATTCAAATGAATTCTATCATTACTGAAATGGAGAGATGACTAGCTCCTACTCAGCATTCGTTATTGAAAGCATTTCATTTTTTTAAAGATTTTATTTATTTGAGAGAGACAGAGAGTGCGAGAGAGAAAGCGAGCACAAGTGGGGTGGGGGTGGAAGGGTATGGGGAGAGAGAGAAGCAGGCTTCCCACTGAGCAGGGAGCCCAATGCAGGACTCGATCCCAAGACCCTGGGATCATGACCTGAGCTGAAGGCAGACGCTTAACCAACTAAGTCACCTAGGTGCCTCTTGAAAGCATTTCTAAGAAATTGCCTCTTGATCTACAAAACATTATTTCAAACATCATCATGGGTCTCAAAAGTCTCTCTTTTAAGGAATGGGTAGCACAGTGGAAAGAGCTTAGATTTTCATAGTCATGTAGATCAGAGTACAAATCCTGGCTTTCCCACATCATTGCGGTGTTGGTGGGTTTTCACAGAATGCCAATACCACCACAGATTGGCTAAGTGCAAAAGCTCCTGACAACCAATAATAATTCATCTGCTTTGAGGGTAGATTTGATTTGTTGAGAAATAGCTACATGACATTTATTGCCAAAGTTGTTGACTAAAATAGATGAATATAAGCAAAAATCAGCAAAATAATTGCTTTTTAAAAAAATTCAAGGTTATGGAGCAAGATGGCAGAGGAGTAGGAGACCTGGGTTTTGTTTGGTCTCAGGAATTCAGCTGAATAGGGATCAAACCATTCTGAACACCTACGAACTCAACAGGAGATCGAAGAGAAGAATAGCAACAACTCTCTGAACAGAGAAGTGACCACTTTCTGGAAGGTAGGACGTGCGGAGAAGTGAATCCGAGGCGATATTCGGGAGGATAGACGGTGGGGGAGGGGGCCTCCGTCGGCCGCTTCTGGCAAGAGATAGAGCCGCGGAGCACAAAATCTGACCTTTTAGAAGTCGGCTCCGCGGAGGGACGTCGCTCCAGTGGCTAAGCGGGGTGTGGAACCCTCGCAGGACAGTGTGGTCTCAGGACCCTCAGGGTCACAGAAAGACTGGGGGTGCCTGAGTGCCGCAGAGCTCCCAGGTATCGGAGCGGGGAAGCCGGCTGCAGAGACGGAGCCGAGGCACGGGCTCTCAGCTCGGGGTTGCCATAAACTGTGATGGGTGACAGTAGGGCCACTGCTCCTCCAGCAGGGACCCAACAAGCGGCAGAGCCAGGGAGACTCCCCTTCCTTCCCCAGGAGGAGCGGCGCAGGAGCGCACCGCAGGGATCTGCTGGGTTTGGAGACTCCACACGGGGTCGGGTGCCAGAGATAGCAACGCTCGGTCACAACCTGGGTGAGCACGGAGTGCGGCCGGAGACCGGGGAGATGGGAGTGACTGCTTTTCTCTGGGGGCGCACTGAGGAGCGGGGCCCCGAGTTCTCCGCTCCTCTGGGCGGAGGTTGGGAGGCCACCATTTTCACTCTGGTCCTCCAAAGCTGTACCGAGAGCTTGGAGGGAACAAAAGCACCAGAGAGCAAACCCGAGCAGATTGCTTAGCCCGGGCCGGCAAGGGTGGGGCAATTCTACCTCTGGCAAAGACATTTGGGAACCACAGCAACAGGCCCCTCCCCCAGAAGATCTGCACGAACAGCCAGCAAGCCAAGACCAAGTTTACCGATCAAGGAGAACGGGAGAACTCCAGCGCTAGGGGAATACTGCACATAGAATTCATGGCTTTTTTACCATGATTCATTAGT